AAAATGTAACTCAAAAATGACAAAAAACGACTAAAACTCTAAAAAACCAGGAGAAAACCTCATGAAACTATCTCCACATGGTAAATATTTGGTCGTATATTTAATTTACTCTCAATAAACAAAAAATGTCAACATTACACCAAGACAGCATTTTTATGGAGTACCGAAAGTTCATAAAGTGAATACACCACATAGACCTATTTGTAGTACCATGAATTCTCCTTGTACTGAACTTTCAAAATTGTTATCAAATATTCTACAACCATTTTTATAAAAAATACACAACATTTTTTAAATAAACTATAGAACATTGGATTTAATTCAAATAATATTTTAGTAAGTTTTGACATCAATAGGTTATTTACAAATGTGCCATTAGATAAAGACTTTAAAAATAATTAAAACAAAATTGGAGAATGATGATACATTGGCAACTAGAACAAGACTAAATGTATCAACTATAATGGAGTTATTGACATTATGTACTGATAATACCTATTTTCGACTAAATAATGATTTCTATAAACAAAATTTTTGTCTAGCAATGGTCTCTAGTTTATCTCCATTATTAGCTAATATATTTAAGGAAGATTTTGAAACAAGTATTATTTCTCAACAAAGAACTTCAAGAACTACAAGAACTAAGTAAACCAACAGAGACAAGAAAATTTTACCAGAAACTCAACAAAAGCAGAAAAGAGTTCAAACCGAGAACAACGATGTGTAAAGATAAGGAGGGTAATATATTGACAGAACAGCAAGAGATACTTAGAAGATAGACAGAACATTTTAAGGAAAAGCTTGGGGTGAATAGGATGGAGATGAACCCTGATATACCATTAGACCAAGCAGACAACAGAGAAAAGAGTCCACCAACAATAGCAGAGATTAGAACAGCAGTGGACAAATTCAAGAACAATAAATCACCGGGATCGGATCAAATATCATCGGAGCTACTGAAAGAAGGAGGAGACGCATTACTTAAAGCCATACATGAGCTGATAAGAAAGATATGGTTGAATAAACAGCTACCAAAGGAGTGGAATAGCGCATTATTGTACCACTACATAAAAAAGGAAACCAGTTAGAATGTGAAAACTACCGTGGAATCACGCTGTTGAATGCGGCATACAAAATAATGTCCAACGTAATGTATGAAAGACTTAGACCATACGCTGAAAAAATAGTTGGCAAGTACCAATGTGGCTTCTGTAGACAGAAGTCAACAATAGACCAGATATTTGTTCTGCGACAGATCCTTGAAAAAACAAGTGAATATAACATCGACACACATCATCTCTTCATAGACTTCGAAAGCGCATATGACAATATAAACCGAGAATTCCTAACAAAAGCAATGAAAGAATTTAATATACCAACACAGCTAATAGAATTGATAAAAGAAACACTAAAAATAGAAAGTAAAATCCGGATACAAAACGAATTAACGGAAACAATAGATGTGAAGAAGGGACTACGCCAGGGAGACGCTCTATCATGCATATTATTCAACATCATACTTGAAAAAATAATAAGAGACACAACAGTTAATACCCGAGGAACAATAATTAATAAAAGCGTGCAAGTACTAGCATTTGCAGATGATGTTGACATAATCGCAAGATCAAGAAGAGAAATGATAGAGGCATTCACTCAAATAGAACGAGCTGCAAAAAATAGTGGTCTTAAAATCAATCAGACAAAAACAAAATATATGCCTGCAAATAAAAACGCACAAATAAGGCAGCTGCCAAATTTAACAATAGGAGAATACAACATTGAGGCGGTAAAAAACTTTACATACTTAGGATCCCTAGTTACGTCTTATAACAACGTTGCAGAGGAAGTGAAGAGGAGAATATTTATTGCCAATAAATGTTACCATGGCTTAATTAGGCAACTAAGATCAGATAACGTCTCCAGAAAAACAAAATGCCAAATATACAAAACCTTAATAAGACTGGTACTCACATACGGTTCAGAAACCTGGACACTCTCTAAAAGGGAGGAAACGTTAATAGCCACATTTGAAAGAAAAATCTTGCGACACATATATAAGGGCACAAAAGAAAACGGGATTTGGCGGAGAAGGTATAGCTTTGAACTATACAACATATACCAGGATCCGGATATCATAACATTCATTAAAATAGGAAGGCTACGTTGGATTGGACATGTGGAAAGAATGGAAGAAGGCGAAATACCAAACAAAATATTCAAACAAGTGCCAGTAGGAAAAAGAACAAGAGGAAGACCGAAGCTGAGATACGTAGAACAAATAGAAAATGATATAACAACATTAAAAATTAAAAACTGGAAAAAAAAGCACGAAACAGGTCAGAATGGAGAAGAATCCTTGAACAGGCCAAGACCCAAAAAGGGTTGTCGAGCCAGTGATGATGATGATTATTTCTCAACAAAATATAAAACCCACAGTATGGTGCAGATATGTAGACAATGTATTCTCAATATGACCTCATTTATTAGAGTTGATGGACACATTCCTGAATGATATAATCGATAAAGAAGAGATAATATTTACCATGGAAAAGTAATATAATAAAACACTACCTTTCCTGGATGTTTTAATCTCAAAGAAGGATACTGGATATGAGACTGAGGTGTATAGAAAACTAACACACACCATTAGATATCTAAGTTACAAATCAAACAACAACATCAATATTAAAAAAAATCAATAAATCCTTATACGATAGAGCCAAAATTCTAACAAAAATTTGTTTTTATAGAAGAACCATTTGTTAACATCTGTTTTATAAAAGTGATTATCCCTAGTCGTTTATCTAAAAATAAACCTAACAATAAACAAGACAGAACAAAGAATTCTATTTATAAAATACCTTGTGAATGCGATTATTTTTATTTAGGTGAAACATCAAGACCATTTAATGTTAGAATAAGTGAACATCAATCTTATGTTAAAAATAAAGAATTTGATAGATCTCAATCATGTAAACATGCATGGGAAAGTGAACATAGGGTTCAATGGAAATATTTAAGTATAATTATGAAAGAAACAGATGGTAAAAAGAGAAAATCAAAGAAGCGACTCTAATTATGCTAAATGGGAAACAATTTGGGTCGCAAATTCTTCAATACAGATCAGTACGATCTGGTTACCCCATATTAGAGGAGGAAATCAATAAAAAGAAAATACCACTATTAGTAAGTCAACAACATATCAAGGATACATCATTTATGTTTATAAATAACATACATATAAAATCAGAGTTTGGTGTGTATTAAGAGTAAACAAAATATAAGACCAAATAGCTACCGTGTCGGGATTGTATCATGAGGTTTTTTCTGGTTTTTCCTCATGATTTACTATGGAATCACTAGCGGGAGATTTCTACTGTTATTGTTGCATATGGTTGTCTTTTTAAAGACGGATTACATGCTATTTTATGACGGGTATTCTCAAGTTAATGTTGATTTCATGTAATCGAATGGAACTATCTTACAAGTAAAGTCGTCCCAGGAACGCAACTAAACAATACAAAAATATGTATAATAACATAATATAACATAAAATGTATAGCAATGTCTGAATTGTTAATGTGAATGAGTCCGATGTTATTAAATTAATAGGAGAAATTTTCACCAAGTAACAAAAAGTAAAATTTGTTTAACTTATTAATGGTTGCATTTTGAGAACGATTTCCAAAGTGGGACTCTAAACGCCAAAAAGAAACTTATATTGTGGCTTATTCCCAACGAAAATAGTAATTGTTATATTTTTTGAGAACGATTTTCGGAGAGGAAATCGAAACATCAAATTTTAAGGTAAAATATAATTGTCATTAAAACCAATTGTTGTTCAATCCCATATAAACATAGCATTTAACTAAGACTAGACACATAGAAGCAGACACAGCATGAAAGTTTGGAGAAATTCATATGTGCATCGACTGCTGGTTGTAAACTAATTTTGCGACCTTGAAAATCTATTTTGACCATACTCCACAACTTAAGTCATTTTGATATTTCCAAGTAAACCGGTATTTCAAGAACAAAGCCAGATATTTATGATCCCTTATAAACCCTTCGTGTGTAGTAGTCGTTTTTCCACATTCCAACAAAACAAAACACCCACCATTGGCCAATACATTTAGTATTATTTATATTTATATATCATATGACAAATAGAAGTGACTAATCGCTTAAAGGCCTTGGAAGGAACGTACCATCAACACCTGTGCAAATCGTTAGTAATTATGCTATTTCATTCATTTCCATGCAGACACCCACTCATTTTCGGTGACATTGAGTAATGATATTCAGTGACCAAAAAGGGACTTTCGGCTCTTCTAATACATCGCCAAGTACTGCTGAATGTATTATATTCTTCTAGCAAATTTTAACAGACATAACTCTCTCAGAGCTTGAAAAGTACTAGAGAACGATAAACCGTTTATATATAGGGTACTACTCGTTTATGAATATTATTTATTACGACATGTACTAAGATACTGAAGAATTTGGAGAATTCATTTATATTTTCTTGCTATTCAGAATATTTCACTAAGGTTTTGCCACACCTTCAACTATATACTGATTGGAATGCTTGGAATGAGGTAAGAACGTCTGCTATCTCTTAAATGTTTATGCATAAAGCTAGATATAATATGTTCTTAAATTTAGTATAGGTATATTCAGTCCAAATATTTAGCAGAATCTACATGGGATCTCAATCCCCACTCAGCCAAAGTAAATAGAAAATAGAAGAAACTCAAAACTTAAGAGAAATCTTGACATATTAGTAAAATGGTACTAATGGTATAATATCTCGATTATGTAGTATTAGAGTACAGGCCTGCATATTTTAAAGTGATTTTAACGCTAGAAAAACGGTAACTTTGTTAAAGACATCTGCAGAATATAAAGTTAAGCCACCGTGGCGTACATTAAAAGGAATACGGTATAACAACAAAAACAGTTAATAAAGTTTGTAACACAATTATCAGTTTCTAACTTACCTCGTCCCAACGATACCTTATCAATAATCCATATTATAGCAACTTTTCATAGAAAACAAACAGTTCACGGGTATTTTGTTTAAATTAATCCGAAGAATACATCCGAATAAATAAACTATATACAACACAGATCGACAAACTACAGTCGCGCTCCCACCTGACAGGTAAGTAAGATAAGTTGGTGCTTCAACGCCCAGCACATGCGTATAACGAGCTACCTGGATGGGTACTGGGTACTATCTGTGACTCTCACCTTTATAATTACCTGAACATTGTATACATCGTAGTTCATTTTTAGTGTATTAATGTTCTACTGATTTATTATGTTTCTTACCTATATTTCCAAACCCGATCTTAAAATGGTTATTTTAAAATTAGAAAGCCTTAGAATAAACTATAAACGAACATTTAAAAAAAATCTACAGTACCTGGAGAACGTGTCACGGCGAAATATTTCTGAAGGGGCTTATCGTTTTTTGATCAGCGGGGATTCTGTCTGTTTCGTTTATTACCTGTCTTTTTATATTTAATATACATTAGATGTAGTAGGTATAATATGTTCGTTTGAAATATTATTGTAATATTTAAACAATGCATATTCCCTCATTTTACTTATGTTTCACAAGTCAGAATCCTTACAAAGACAGACTATTGATAAAATCCCAAAGGAATAACCATTTATGAAGATGTCAATCTTGCATATAAAATTAAGAGAAAAATTAATGGATTACATTATTGGTTTTTCTTTATTTTCTACATTATTGGTGTTTCTTGTCATCATAGTTCTATCTTCTTCTTTAAGTTCCATCTTCTATCGAAGGTTGGAAATCATCATGGCTATGCGGACTCTGTTGACTGCCGCTCTAAAAAGTTCTGCACTACTGCATTCAAACCATTCCCTTAAGTTCTTAAGCCAGGATATTCTTCGTCTTCCCACATTTCGCTTTCCTCAGATTTTGCCCTGCATAATAAGTTGTAATAATGCGTATTTTTGCCCTCTCATCACATGTCCCAAGTACTCAAGTTTTCGTCTTTTAATAGTTAATATTATTTCCGCCTCATTTCCTATCCTTCTAGTTACTTCCATGTTTGACATTCTTTGAATCCATGATATTCGTAGGATTCTTCTGTAACACCAAAATTCAAAGGCGGCCAGCTTATTCAGATGAACTTGTTTTAGTGTCCAAGCTTCCAGACCATAAAGAAGAGTAGAGAACACGTAACATCGAAGCATTCTCAGGCGTAGTTCTAACCTTATATCCCGACAACAAAGAAACTTTTTAAGTTTAATAAATGATGTACGTGCTATTTCAATACGTGTCTTAATTTCTTTGGTTTGGTCTACATCTGATGTTATCCACGTTCCTAAATATTTATAGTTATTAACATTCTCAATTGCAGTATCTTCAATAGTCAATTGGATATTTGCATGTGCAGATTTAGTCATGATCATGCATTTAGTTTTCTTTAAATTTATCTTTAGTCCGTACTCATGACAGCGTTCATTAATGCGTTGCATTAGGTTCTGTAAATCATTGTTGTTATCCGTAATTATTACTGTATCGTCTGCAAAACGTAAGTTATTCAAAACTTCTCCATTGATAGATATACCTTCTATTGAGTCTGAGAGCGCTTCTTGAAATACCGCTTCACTGTAGACATTGAAAAGTAGTGGGGACAGCACACAACCCTGGCGAGCTCCTCTCTGTATTTTGATATTTTCGGTGTACTGGCTGTCAACTCTTACCTTGGCAGTTTGATTCCAATATAAATTAGATATAATTTTCAGATCACGACTGTCAATATTTTTGCTTTTTAATATATCTACAAGCTTTTTATGTTGAACTTTATCAAATGCCTTTTCAAAGTCTACAAAACATAAGTACATATCCTGATTCATGTCCATGCATCTCTGAGCCAGCACATTCAAGCCGAACAAAGCATCTCTTGTACTCATACCATTTCTAAAGCCAAATTGTGTGTCACTAATCTCATATTCAAGAGTTTTAACAATTCTGCTGTGAATTATTTTCAAAAATGTTTTAAGTATGTGACTCATTAAAGCTATGGTTCTGTGGTCTGAGCTAGTTGTTGAACTTGGTTTTTTGGGAATTGCTACAAAGGTTGATTGCAGCCATTGTCTGGGGATTGTGGCAGTCTGATATATTCGATTAAAGAGTTCAACCATTACATCAATAACATCTTCATCGATGAGTTTTAATAATTCGATGGGCACCTCATCTGGTCCAGTAGCTTTACCCTCTTTTGTGTTTTTGATGGCATAGATGACTTCTTCTCTTAATATTGTGTTATCTAATTTTATTTGTATTTTTAACATCATAATTTTTTAGCAACTATTTACTTTAACTTTATTTTACATCTTCCCTGCTTTACACTATTTCTTCACATCAGCAGAACTGAAGAAGTGCAGAAAGATTGCACAAAACGTTTTCTTTTAACACATTGCAATGATATTTTCACATTTTTTCTCCTTGGTCGATTACCTCATTAGAGTGAGAGTTTAATCTCACTTGCTTTGCATATAATATATCTGTGGCTATATGTCAAAACTTTTTTTTTTATTTACAATTAAGGCTCATCAACCTAAGTGGTTATTAGCGCCGCTTGGTATTACTATTTTTTACATATTTTTAGACATAAATTAGACATAGACATACATAGAGTTTTACATACATAAATCTGAGATAAAATACATTAGTTAATAAAAGATTACACATTTATTTGTACGCGCACTGATGTTTAAATTTGGTTGTATATTGCTATTGATTTTAGAAAACTTAAAACAGACGAATAGACAGTTTTCTTGTAAACACTCGCGTAGTGTTGTCGGTATGTTACACTTTTGGCTCTTATTTGAATATGCAGGGCATTCGATTAGACAATGTTGGACACTTAAACTGTTTAAACACTTACCGCACATTGGATAAATACTTCCAGTAATATGGTATTCATGTGCTAAGCGTGTATGTCCTAATCTCAGTCTGTTTATTATAATTTGGTGTTTCCTGTTGCTACACATAATTCTTCCATCTTGTAACAGTTGTTTCTATATTTCGTAGTTTTTGTTGAGATTGATTCCATTCCTGAAGCCACCGTTCTTTCAATGTCGAGTTAATCCAGTAATGAAAACCTTTCTTATAGGTAGGTTCTATCAAGTCTTCGTTGTTAACTGAAGATTTGGCGGCAGCATCTACTCTTTCGTTACCTAGTATACCTATATGTGACGGAATCCACATAAATTTCACAATCGCATTATTTAGCTGAAGTTGGTACAAATGGTTCTATATCAATCGCAAGCATGTATGAGTTGGGTAAATGGTGCCTAAGCTACTCATGGAACTTAAGGAATCTGTTATTATTAGGCACCTGTCAAGTTGGCGTTCAGTGCATATTCTAATGCTTTGTAGATGCGAATAGTTCTCCTGTATATACTGTGCTAAAATTTGAGATTTTGTAGTCGTTGTGTATGAGGGCACATTCCACTCCTTTTTCTGATTTGGAGGCATCAGTATAAATATGTTGGTATTTCTGGTACTCATCAATCTTACTGAAAAATTGTTTAACCATAGAGGAAGCATTAAGATGATTACTTGTCTTTGTTAAATTCAAGTCTAGGAAGGGTTTTCTGACCATGCAAGGAGGAGTGGTTAAAAGGGTGGTTTGGTATTTTTTAGGAAGACAATATTATTGCTGGTCATGTACCTATTAAGTCTTTCATAAAAAGGGGGTTTAGATCTTTTTTCGTTAAGATATGTTGTGTGGAAACGAGAAGCAAAGACATTGTTTCTGACGAGATTTTCATTATTTGCTGAAACGTTTGCAGCATATGCTAGGCTAAGATATTGTCTTCTTAATTCCAGAGACATTTCTCCTACTTATCATAGTAAGCCATCTGTAGGTGTGGTACAAAAAGCTCCTACAGCAGCATTTTGGATTGTTTGCAACTCTTTCAGAAGTGATTGACTGGTAGACCCATACACTATTGAACCGTAATCGACTTTAGATCTAATAAAGCTTTTATATACTGTCAATAAGATATTTATTGTTATATTTTGATATTTAATAAAGATTGTTAGTTTTAATCAATTTCTAAATAATTTAAAATTCACCAATTTATGGAATATCTAAATTTAAACTACGATATAAATATTTTTGAAATAAGTAATAACAATTAGTCCAATTTATTTTTATTCACTGTTATGAATCTACATAAAAAACAAGTGTTTATCATTTAAAAATAAAACATTAAATTCCATCATTTACATTCTCACTAGTTTTGAGTTCATCCTGTGTACACAGGATCAAAGTATTGCAGCAGGAAAAGCAAGTCTTTTTCTCTCAAAGGTTTAGGTCCACTATAAACAGGTTCTAATGTAGGATCCATCTGGTATCCTCTGCGTTTAATATTAATCTTAGAAACGTTAAGGCCCTTATGTGAATACATATTTAATGTTTGTAATACCAACATTTTCATTATCATCACTTATATCACGCTTTACATAGATATATTGAAAAAGTTTTGAATACGCGAGAAAATCTTTCCTCTGCATTTCGATAACTTAAAATTTCTTCTTACCAGGGACACTTCTAACAAACTATTATCAGTCATGAGGTATCCTTATTTCAAATTGTGACGATTTTTTGGCAAGCTCAATTCTTGCATGGTCGGCATCATATTCCATTCTAGTATGACCCACTTGCAAGAACTTGTGTTCTATTTCATTTGTGGTTATTGATCTATAAACAAATTAAGATAGTGCTCCTGTAAAAATGTTATTTTTATTTTGCCCGGGCAAGAATCCGAATACAGAACAACTTTTTCAACAGTATCGACTAAGCTGCCAAGATATTTTAAAAGACTGTAAGCTACTTGATCTGATCCATGTTCTGACAACCCCTTATGTCACATGAAACATGAAGTAGTACTTTCAGTTCAATTTCTGATGGTGAGGTTTTATGTCTAGGCCAATAGATAGATAGATAGAATTTATTCGTCTAGAAATTTATACAATTTATACATTACACAAATTTATCTGACTAGTCAAAAAATATATATTATATGTTATACAAAATGTATCTTCTTCTTAGGGTGCCTGTCCGTTCCGAACGTTGGCGATCATTCTGGCTATGATGACTTTGTCGGTTGCTATACGAAATAGCTGTGTTGATGTCTTTCTATACCATGCTCTCAGGT